AGGCCTCAGGCAGTTGTCTGATGACCTTCCCAACGCTAGTGAGGCTCACTGTGTTTTGTCTGAAAATAAAGGAGGTTTCCACATGAGGACTGTCCCGGCAAAACAGCGAGCTGCACAGGGCGGCTTGGAGACAGCTCCCTCTGCGGACGCCCTCTGCTCCCGCAGGCCGCATGGGCTTACTTCCGCCTTGGCCCCCAGGCAGGCCAAGCTCCCCTCCCGGCCAGGCCCAAGGAGGGGACGAGGGTGGGGAAGAGCGTCCCCTCTGGGCAAGGTGGCTAAGAGGGTCGGTATGACTCAGCGCTCACCCCAGGGAAACCCCCTCCCCCTGTGTCCGGAAGGCTGGTGGGACCCTGGCAGTTCTGCTGGTTCTCAACCATCTCTTTTTTAGGAAGAGAAAGGGAGGAAGGCAGGGAGGGAGGGAGGAGAAGAAAGTCAGAGGAAGGGAAAGAGGGAGGGAGAAAGATAAGACCAGGGGAACAAAAGCAAAGAAGAAAAGAACACAGTTCCCTGGTCCCTCCGGAATTCTCCTGGAGGGCTGGCTGGTCTTGCCAGTGGCTCTCTCGCTCTGCAGATTCTGGATATACATTTCCCTTTAAGACTGGTTGTCTGCAGAGCAGGGGAAACAAACCAGAACCCCCCCATAAATCAATAGAGGTCACTGCCAAAAGCTTTGTACACTTGCTGTCCCTGGCAGTGATAAACTCATTGCATTTGGGAACTGGCCAGAGACCCTGAGTCCTAGCTTAATTCTCATTCCCAGAAAAACCTCAGCGTGCCATTCACCCACCCCCTGTTTACTGTCTTTGTGTTTCCAAGACAAAGCTGGCAAGGAGGAAGGAACAGAGTTCCATAACTGGGCACATCAAAGGCTCCATTGCTTCTCTGGGGGAGGAGGCGGGCGGCGTCATGGACCTGTGGACTGTGGGAAGGAAGGCCCAGACCAGAGGGGCCTGAAGTCCCACCCTGCAGGGGACACAGATCGGCAGAGGTTCTTGACTCTGCTTCTCTCAGACCTTGCCTCATGCCTGCCACTGTTGCTGTGGCGCTGTCCCCTCGTAGGGCAATCTGAGACCGTCCCAGGGATGGCCAAGGGCTAGCCACAGGGCCGGCAGAGTGAGGTCGCCTCGTGCAACCCCCGCAGCAGGTCACGCTCTCCCTCCCTGCTTCCTCCCCACACCGGCTCCACCTTGGTTCCAGCTTTGCAGTGGGCCATGTGAGCCGGGAAGGATGGCAGGGGTCCCAGACTGCTCCTCTGACCCACACGGACCCCCCCCAGATTAGACCACCTCCGTCTGCTGCTCCTTCCTCCTTGCCCCTGGACTGTCCTTGTTGCTCTGGTGGATGAAACGATACAGCAGCAAGACCAGCCCGTCCTACCCCCAGTCCCCGTTTCCGGCTGCTAAGACCTTCCCACCCTGACGAGGACCCTCTGGTTGACAGACAATTGCCCACCTCTGGCCGGGAGGTCATCCGCTCACATCCGTCCACAGCACTCTCTGCTTGTGCCTCCTTGTAGCCTTCAGCTCGGATGTGCCCCCATGTTTACAAAAGCAGGGTGTACCCCACTAATGGGAATGGACCCACGGCAGGGACCCAAACAAAATGAACTAGTGGCTTGGGTTCGAGCCGACTTCGATAGTCGCAGTGGATGATCTCTGTGCATCGGTCCTGCCTAAGAGGATCTTGACCACAGCAGGGACCTTTTCTGTCTTTCAGGCTGCCGCCTCAATGCCCGGCACAGGGCCTGGCACCTCCTAGATGCTCAATGGATAACTGCTGAGGTATTTTTGTGATTGAGTGTTTAGGCGTCTGCTTTACCCTGGTCTTTTTTAATGGACACGTCCTTTCTGTCCGTGGACTAAGCTTTTCCTGCCCAGGAGGGGTCTGGAGGAATTCGCTGGATGGGGGTGGAGTTCATTGCCAAGGCCAGAGCGCTGGGCTAGGAGAGGCTCGCCTGCTCCTCCTGGGGAAGGGGGTATTTTGTAAGACCTACTGGGCATGTTGATTCCTCTGAGAAGTCAGAACAAGACGCAGGGATCTGCTGCCTCGGACAGGGACGTAGCGAGGGTCCAGGTGTGACTGACCCTCTTCAGATGAATCAGGAGCCACCTGGCTATGTTGGCCTGAGACAAGAATAAGGAGGCAGCGAGTCATTTTCACTCTGCGTTAACATTTGTACCTAAGATTTAAATGTTAGGACCATTTAAATAGACAAAAACTGCAGAGACCATCGATCCCTCAGTCTGGGCTCCGAGACCACTCGGGATGGACCAAGATGCTCACATATGGCCGTCCTTGGAGTTGAGTGTGAGCCCCAGTCTCCTCCCACACAGAGCAGGAACTGGCCCATCTCAAACCACCACAGTGTGGAGGCTGCACACTTGCCGAACATTAAGTTCAAACAAGAATCTCAGCGAACCAGGAAGCAATGTAAGTTCCGCTAACATTTGACCCTGTGTTGGATGCTATGCATAGATGAGATAAAAACATTGTTCCCTCGAGGAACGTAAAACTAGAGTGGGCTGGATTTTTGTCTGAAATTTGCAGGAAAACGCTTCGTGAGGCGTGTTGTTGCTCAGTGTATTAAAGCAGAGCACATCTGGACCATCGAAGGGGATGCAGCTCCAAGCCACTATTCAATCCCCCTGGCTCCTTGGAGGGCCCCTTCTCCCTAGTGGGTGTCACCCTGCTTTCGTAAACACGAGGAAAAATGAAGCCGATGCCCACAGGTCTGCCTGTGGTCCAACTGAAGATGAGTGGGGAGGTTTCACGTGTGGCCCAGGGGTTTCTGCTTTGTGCTTTCGCTTTCTCCTGTGGTGGGCAGGGAGGGGGTCTTGGTAAGCCATTGTCATGCCCCAGCTTCCTCTGGGATGTGCCAGTGATCTCCAAAATGTGCCTCCCTCCCACTCTCCCTTGGGAGGAGTACCCGAGGAACAGGTGCTCAAGGGCCAGCTCTCCACTCTCCTGAGCGCCGGGGCTCTGTCAGCTTCATGGGGTGAACTATGAGTGTGCGTCAGAGAAGAGCCTCCTTCCCGGCCAGCCTCCGCCTGACAGCCCCCCCCCCCCTCGTCACGGGCCCTTCAGGACAGCCGGGCCTCCCGTACAGCGAGCTCTGTTCCATTTCAACGGATAGATACGCTTTTCAGTGGACAAACTCCCTCTTTTTTTTTAAATCCTCACCTGATGGTGATATTTTTTCATTTATCTTCAAATGGGGGGGGGGGGGATATTGACGTGAGAGAGACACATCGATTGATTGGTTGCCTCCCACACAACCTCAACCAGGGCTGGGGATGAACCGCAATGGAGGTACGTGCCCTTGGCCAGAATCAAACCCGGGACTCTTTGGTCCACGGGCCAACGCTCTAACCGCTGGGCCAAACCGGCCAGGGCACAAACTCCCTCTTTTAATGAACCAGGCTTTCTCTGCCCTTAGTGAGGACAGATCTTTTAGGAAGGGACCAGGAAGTGACAGGGATTAGCTGGAAGTCCAGGGTGAAATTTGTTGCCAAAGCCAGAATGTAAATACCTCCAGGAGCCCAGGAGAAGAGAAGGCACCATGCCGCAGCATCTGCCTCCTGGACGTGAGCCTCGGGCCTGGCATTGGCCCCGGACTCCACGATCCGGTTCCCAGGCACCCTTCCAGGGGGAGCCGGTGGCCTCGACGTGCACAGGGACCCACTGTACTGTTGCCTGTGGAGATTTTTTTTAATTAAACTTTTTATTTTGAGATGCTTCTTAATTCACATGCACTTGAAAGAAATAATGCAGAGAGTATACAATATATCCAGCTTCCCCTAACGGTAACATCTGCAAAACTATAGTACAACGTCATGGCCATGATATCGACATTGCTACACTCACTGAGTTGATCAGATTTCCCCATTTTAGCCCTGGCTTGTTTGGCTTAGCAGTTAGCGCATCGGCCCACGGACTGAAGGGTCACTGGTTTGATTCCCAGTATGTGGGAGGCAACCAATCGATGTCTCTCTCTCTCTCTCTCTCTCTCTCTCTCTCTCTCTCTCCCCCCCCACCCCCACCCCCCTTCTAATCTATCTGAAAATCAATGGAAAAATATCCTCAGGTGAGGATTAACAACAAAAAAGATTCCCCAGTTGTACCTGTACTCATGTGTAATGTGTGGTTAGTTCTGTACAAACCCTATCACATGTATAGCTGTGCCAAGATACAGAGCTAATCCATCACCACAGGAATCCTTCATTGTCTTTCTTTGTTGTTGTTAATCCTCACCAAGGATATTTTTTCCATTGAATTTTAGAGAGAGTAGAAGAGAAGGAGCAGGAGAGAGAGAGAGAGAGAGAGAGAGAGAGAGAGAGAGAGAGAGAGAAACATAGATGAGAGAGACACATAGATGAGAGAGGGCCTCCTGCACATGCCCAACCAGGGCTGGAGATCGAACCTGTAACCCAGGTACGTGCCCTTGACTGGGAATGAACCCAAGACCCTTCAGTTGAGGGCCGGCCCTCTATCCATTGAGCCACACTGGCCAGGGCTCTATTGTCTTTTTAACCATACCCTCCCTCCCCTCTCTTGCCCTCTCCCATCCCCAACCTCTGCTAACCACTAATTTGTGTCTGTTTCTATAATTTGTCATTTCAAGGATGTCATATCAGTGGAATCGTGCAGTACGTGGCCTTCTGGGGCTTTTTCACTCCTCACAGTTCCTTGAGGTTCATCCACTTGGTGGGGGCGTCAATACTTTGCCCCTTCTTGAGGCTCTGCCTGTGGTCTAATCATTCAGCAGTACTGCGTCCTAACACGGCGCCAAGGACATGCTCCTCAGAGACCGGTTATTCTAAGAGATAGGCTATGTTTTGTTTGGGTTTCTGAGTGGGACAGAAACACAAAGCAAGCATGGAACACACAAGCTCACGCTGGTCCGTTTGTTTCCTCCCTAAAACGGTGGCTGGTTGGGTGGGGATTCCCTTCAGCCTCGGTTGACAGTTCCTTCTCGTATCTTCTGCCTGCTTCCTTCCCAGGAGCACATCTACAAGCTGATGAAGAGCGACAGCTATGCCCGCTTCCTCCGGTCAAACGCTTACCAGGACTTGCTGCTGGCCAAGAAGAAGGTATCTTTGGGAAGGGCAGGCTTGCCTGTCTTCGCGCTGTTGGTCCTTGCCTGCTGCTTGCTGCTGGTGTGACATGGAGTCTCATCCCTTGGGTTGTATTTCCTTTCTCTTGTCTTCTTTCCCTCCTCTACCTGCTCCCACTCCAGCGACAGACAGTTAGGATCGTCCCCACCCCCGAGGTCGTGGTGTGGATCCCGTCTCCATGTGCTCATTACCCCGTCTGCGTGCTCTGCCCACAGCAGGGAGTGTGACCACATACTCAGGCCACAGGGGCTCAGTGCAGACGTGCCAGGCTGGCAGTGACACCAGCGAACCCCTTAGGAAACCTGAGAGAGCCCCTCACTACAAAGTCCAGCCCTCGCCCGACAGATGGTCTCTCCCAGCCCAGCCCGGGGAGGAGGACGAGGCAAGGATGGGGCGGCCACCTCACTGGAGAGAGAACCTTACAGGTTTCCAGGGCCCTAGTCACTGCTCGGGTGTCCCCTCCCTGACACCCCATTCCTCTGCCTCAGCTGCCCCACAGTGTTTGTGTCTTAATTTAACCAAGAAGTCACTGTACCCTAGCTCCTCCTGCCTCCACCACTGAGCCTTATGTCATGGTTTCCGGCAGCCCTTGGCACCTGGATTTTGGGGTAACTAAAGCCGGGGCGAACTCGGTTGGGCCTGGGAGGAGGGAAGGAACTGCGGAGAGGGACGTGGGGTCTGGGAAGGGGAGGAAGAGAGGTGGTGCGTGATCCCAGCATGCTTTGCAAGCCCTCCACTTCTCGGCTCTGCTCTGAGGCCCCGTGTGGCCAAGCGCGTCTCCTTGCACCCAGTTCCACGGCTTCTGTGCCACGCCACCGGAGGAGCACAGCGCCTCCATCCATCCCTTCTCCTCGCTCCCAGCCTCCCAGCCCCCCGCCCTGAGCAGGTGGTCGTCCAGCGCCAGGTTCTCCGCCGGCCTCGCGGCCCTTCTCTCTGTGCTCTGCCCACCTCCTGTGCCAGGGCCATGTGTCTGGTGGCACCCCGTACATAACTGCAGAGTCTCCCGAGCATGCGTGTCCTGCTGTCCTGCCCCTAGGGCGCCTGAGGACTCCCTGAGCATCTGAGGAACCGATGGTCAGGGGCCCAGTGTTCTCGGCTGCCTGCACCCTTTTCATCGGGTGCCATCTCTACTCTGATGGAAAATGTGACTCTTGGCCTCTTGCCAGTTCCCTTGCAAGGGATGGAGATGGAAGGGCCCTGGCAGAGGCGACTGGTACCCCCATAAATGTCTCTGATGCTGAATTTTTTCAAGGAAGGTTATGGAGACTTTTGGTATCTCCAGCCCAGATCTCACGGGAGAACGTCAAAGTGTTTCTTATTCCTCGTGGCTCCAAAGCCCAAAATCCTGCGGCTCCGCAGTCTGAGCCACGTGGGCCTGTCTGTGCACCCAGACAAGCCAGAGGCCCTTCCGTGTCCTTGGGGGTTTGAGCACAGAGACAACGCAGGGAGGAGTAACATACCTGTGGCTGCAGGTCCTCCCGCACGAGGAATACTTCTCAGAGGAGGTCACTTGAGTGAGGAAGGAGCCTATGGCGTCCCTGTGAAATGTTACAAATGAAATTCCTTGGAAGTATCCACCCAACCCCCAAAGTAAGGGCCATTCTCGTGACAGAAAGTCCTTGCACATGCCAATACTTTTCAATAGCCAGGGCTTAACTGTCTCCCAAAAAGGTGACAAAACCTACTTTTCCTCCATTTCTCCCCGAGAGTCTCCAGGTGTGGCTTGGATTTGTCACGGCACCTGCAGGTAGGTTTAGGGTGTCTTCTGACTTCGGGGATGGGCTTCCCCTGTGGCATACACGACCAGGTCATAAAAGATATGTGAGAGTCACAGCCTTCTGCTGATGGAGGGTATGAATGGGCCTCGCCTTCCTGCTGAGAGAGGTCTGGGGACACAGCCTTCTGACCCTCCATCCCTGACTCCCCTCCCATGCTAGTATTTCCAAAGGTAAGGTTAGTCACTTTGATGTACCGGGTCCCTGAGGGGCAAGTGAGCTGGGTTGTGACGGCTCCTCCGGGACAATTACGTGCCAGTGGCAGTGGTCCTCCAGGCCACTCGGAGGGGCTGTGCGAGGCAGAGGGCCTGCTGAGCCAGGCCGACGGCTCCCCTGTGAGCACCAGCTTGGTAGCCAGAGCACAGGAATGAGTGGCACAGGATGCCAGCTGCAGGGCCTGGGGCCAGCCTGGCATGAGCCAAATGCATGCCACCCAGGCTGCCCACTGTCCTGAAGCTGAGTTCTGCCACCCCCGGGCGGAGACCTGACGTGGTCCTCAGGGCCCAGCACAGATCCTTCGGTCCCTTGTCCCAGGAGAGAGACCGGCCTGGCTCTGCAGTGCTGGGTCCTTTGTGTGTTATTTTCTTTCAGCAACATCCTGTCTGTCTTCAGACAGCCAGCTGAGGACAGAGGCATGACTGCCAGAGAAGCCCTCTGACCTGTCCATGTGGACAGGTGGCTGCTCTTTGCCACATCACGCACCCCCACAGACACCTGCTGCTTCTTCATCTCCCTAATTTCCATTATTTGCTGTGTGTGTGTGTGTGTGTGTGTGTGTGTGGCTGTGTGTCTATGTGAGTGTATATTCTCTCTAGATTTCCCAGTCTTGGGCTCAGGGCTCTGGGACAGGGCTCTAGGATACACTAGCAGGTCTTTGGGGTGTAATTCTCTCCCCAGATCCCTTGAACAAGCGGAAAACTTGGTGATACGGTCAGTTACACGGCCTCCTCCTCGGGCAGTGGTGGGCTGCTAGCCCTCCAGAGTATCCCAGGGTTCTGCATCCTCTGGCCCTGCCAGGGGCCCTCAGCTAAGAGCCCCCCAGGAAGGTTCCCGAGCTCTGGCAGCCTGCTGTGAGTAACCCTGGAAAGCGGTCGCCTGCCTGGGTACTGAGAGCATTTTCTTTCCAGAACATTCTCTGAAGCCCAAGACCCTTTACAAAGGACATGAATAGGCCCTCCTTACGCTGAGGGCACAGAATGAGAGCCATTAGGGGGCCAGTAGGGAGTCACTGAAGTTAGCAAACTTTCTAGCTGCATCTGGCCAGGAAAATCTCAGAGAAAGTCATAACCCAGACCCTCAGCCGCTTCTTGACGTCTCATCAGCATCCCCCACACACCCCACAGCCCCCGAGAGCTAATCTGTTCTACGTCCCCATGGGGCCCCCCGGATGGCTGCCCGTGGGCTCAGGGGCACAACCCCCAGGGGCTCCTGCGCATGGGCAGTGCCAGTGGTGAGCAGTGAGCAGGCAGCTCGGAGTGCTGCGTGCCGCGTGCCGCGTACCCTGCAGAGCCGCCTGGCTCCTAGGAGCCCTGAGGATGATTAATGCAGCCCGGAGAAGCACACCCCTCTCGCTGCTCTGCGGAGCAGCACCATCTCCTGGGGGCTGGTTTTCTGTCTCCCCTCTGACCCTCGCATACAGCGCTGGCTGCTTCTCTTCCCGTTCCTGCGCCCTGTTCGCTTTTCTGTCCATTAGCTGCCGCTCTGCTGTTTGGAAACCACGTGTAAGCTGAAGATTTTTTTTCTGTATTTTTCTCCCTACCTTTTTTTTGTTTGTTTGTTTTTCCTAAAGCCAGAAAGTGAGCAAGGTCGTAGAACTTCCTTAGAAAAGTTCACTCGCAGTGTGGTAAGTTCAGCTGGTTTTGTTCCCTCTCGTTTCTTTGGTTTCTCTCGTTTTCTCAGTTCCTTTTTGTTGTCATTTCCTTTGGGGTGGGAGGGAGTCCAGCGCTTTCCCCCTCAACACCTCCCATTTCTTTTGCAAATGTCTGCAGCTTCACTTCTAGGGATGGATTTGCAAAAGCCCAAGCGGCTCCCTCTGCAGAAGGTGTGCACTGACCGCCCAGCCTCGAGCTTGGCACTTGACCTCCGTGCAGGGCTGAGGAGGATGGACGGCCCGCCGCCCGGGCTGCGCGGTCTGTGCATCTTCTGCAGCCGCCCAGGGAGAAGGCCATCCAACTCTCTCACGAAATAAATTGGCTCAGAACCGTAGCTCACCTAAAAAAAAAATCCAAATTTCCCTCTGTGAACTCAGGCAGTCGTGCGGAGCGGTCGCGAGCTGGTGCTGCTGTGTAGGCGGCTTTTGCGTGTGCAGGAGGTGGCCGTGCTGCATGGGTTCTGGCGATGTGGTCCAGCTGGTGTGCGAAAGTGGCCTCTGCATGAGTTACAGCCCTCGTCAGCTCATTTGCATAGTGTGACCGGGAGAAAAGGGCAGGTAGCCCTGGGTGGAGGGAGCAGCAGTTCCCAGGGGCAAGGCCTTGAGGGAGTCAAGGTGGGCTGCAGGTCCACTGTCCTTGTAGAGAAGTGGCCCTACCCCACGCACACTCAGAGTGGCACATAGGAGACCCCAAGGGACAGGCGAGAGTGCTGAAGGACAGGTCTCCCCCATGTTGCACAGGGCCTACAGGACAGCATCCCCCTCCTCCCCCCCCTGCCGTTCTCTGTGAGATTCAAGCACAAGGCCTGGTGCACAGGAGTGTTCAGTCCCGCTCATTCACTTACTTGTTAAGAACAATCTGCTGAGTTCATGGGCCCCAGCCTGCTCCGTCCGTATCAACCCAGAGGGAACCAACGCGGCAGCCGGGGAGCAGGGCGCCCACAGTGGGACTGGCCACACTTCCCCTCCTGCGGGTGGAAACCCACCGGTGCCGACTGCCTTCCCCCCTCGCTGATGAGGAAAGGCCTTGTGAAACCTGACTACTGTGTGATTGGTACCTTTATTTCATCCTTTTAACATAAAATCTAAGAATTCTGGGTTGAAAGCACCCTAGTTGTTTGCCTATTGTAGCTAGATGCATTTTAACTGAATTTAAACATGATTTTGAATTTGCTACATGTAAGCATCATAGTAGCCTTAGTAGGTGGCCATTAAAATACGGGTGCTCATCTTTTCTCTTCTTTGGTCTTCCCTCTCCATGGTCCTTGCCACCGGGCCGTCAGAGCTTGCAGAATGCGAGGCCTGCCGGTCACGGCTGTCTCCACGCTGGCTCGCCGTGGCCATGTGGCTTCACACCCCAAGGAGGTGCCCCCGGCCGTCAAGGGCGAGGCCTGTGGCTGTTCCTCCGCTCCCAATGGCCTGATAGCGGCAGGAACCCATTCCTTTGTGTCTCTTTGGAGGCCTGGATGTGTGGGTGGAGGGTGTTTAGGGATTGTGTTGACAAGCCCAGAGCGCACTCTGAAGCGCCTTGGACTGTCGGCAGACCAGGGAAGCAGAGCTCCCGCAGCCCCACGGAGGCCCTTCAGGTTGGCTGACCACATGAGCCAAGGGTATGAGGAAGGAAGACTGGTAGGTATTCAGACGAGACATCCAAACACCACCGGGCTGCTTTTCATGAGAAGTGGGTATCAGAAAGGGCCAGATGGTGCTGACGAAGCTCTGTGGAGAGCATGTATTGACGTCCCTTCGTCCTGGAGTGGGGTTGGTTCAGTGGTCCCCCAAAGTCTGGTAACGAAGCATCTGGAATGAGAAAGCACCAGACATCTGCCCAGCGTCTGATGCGTGCACATGGGGGGATTTACAGAGATGTTTTCAGGGCCAGCTGAAGGAGGAGAATCTCCCAAGCTCCTGAAATTTCTAGCATTTATATGATAAAAGGCCCAAAACTTTAAAAAAACAGTCTTCAATGTCCTACTGTTCTTTTATGAAGACTCTGGTGGGCGATGTGTTCTGATGTTTCAGTTCCAGTGGTGGAAATGGAGATGGATTTGCACGGATCCATCCATGTTCCTCGTGAGGACACCGCATCACACAAGAGGTGTCCGAGTTCGGCCCATGGCTGTTGCACAGTGACAGCTCGCAGGGTATTTAAGGCTGGATCCCAAGACCTTGGTCTGAACAGCCCAGGGTTCTAATCAAATGGAATTAACCAACCAACCAATAGGCTTTGCAATTGGATAGCCATTTTCTAGGTATACTATACATAAAGTGCTTGATTTCTATAAAAGAGGGTCTACACGAATATTTCATCCGCTACCTACTGGGAACTGTAAGACTCAATGAAAAGCTGGTTCAGTGGCATTGGCGTGGTGCCTGGAGAGACGTGCCCAAGACCATCCGTGTCGGGGGCTAATCAGGGAAAAATGAAGGAGTGAGGCTGGGCAGCTCAGGGATCAAGGATGTGAGACCAGCTGCTGTTTAGGACTAATTGGTGGCGAGAAATGTTGATCTGGGTGATTGGTTAGCTCAGTCAGCTAGCTTCTCATCAAAACGGAATCTGAATCCAAAATGTACCCCATGCCAATGTCGTTTCTTTCCTTGGTAAAGGAGGGACATTTGGAGAAAGCATGTTGTTCTTTCCAAGGCTCAGGTGCATCATGAATGCAGAGATCACCTGTTGAAGGTGACAGATGCCCCCTTTTACATGAGATCCTGGAGAGCTGTTTAACGCAGGTCATGAAGCTGCTAGGGCAGTGCTGTGTGAGCTTCTTCCAAGAGAAGTGCCTTCAGAGTCAACCTGACCTTGAATATACAAAGCAAATGTCTGGGGGTATGCAGTGCCCAGCACTGTGTGGCTTGATGGACTGAGCCACCAAGCCTGCATGAAGCCCCGCTTGTTTATCTGAACAGGGAAGGCCCCGGTACAGAACCAAACATAACTGAAAGTTATGGCCTGGTACAACTAGCCCATACGCAGCTTTATCACAAACAGAAAACAGGCCCAGCCGGTGTGGCTCAGTGGATTGAGCACCTTCCATGGACTGAGAGGTCCCAATTTGATTCCCAGTCAGGGCACATGCCCGGCTTTCAGGCTCCATCCCCAGTAGGGGGCGTGCAGGAGGCAGCTATTAATATTTTTCACATCAATGTTTCTATCTCTTTCTCCCTTCCCTCTCTCTCAAAAAAAAAAAAAAATCAATGAAAACATATTTAAAGAAAACAAAACAGAAAACAGAACTTCCTCTGATGGGCCCAGCCCCAAAGATGCGCAGCTGGCGGAGCAGCGCACAGGCTGGGTTTCAGCTCCCACTGGCCTTCCGCTGCCCTCGTGCGGTGAATGCCTCACACCATGGGTCCTGGGCTGAGGAAGCCGTCTCAGGAAGAGCTCTAACACACAGCAGCTCCTCAGAGGGGACCCAGACATGGCCTCCAGTCAAATGCATGGAGCCTGGCTATCCCTGGCCCTGTCCACTGCAAAGCTTCCTTTTGCGGTGGTTGTAAAACTGAGCCACAGCAGGAAACATCTGGCCGTCATTGTGGGTTTCCTCTGCATCACCTGCCATCTCCTCTTCGGGTTCTTCGGTGGGAAGTCCCAGGCACTACTGACGGGGGGAGGAAGGTTCTGAAACTAAAGACCACTTCCTGCCCCTGTGCCCATCAGCCCGCCGTTCCCACCGTCTTCCCGATTCTGCGGCTGACAGATGAGGGTGTGAGGGAGGCTGGAGCGGCAAGGCTCACCCTCCCCATTCTGTCTGAGGCGTGCTCATTACATCAGGGTCTGCCACAGCGTGGGGAGGGCCTCCCCAGGAGCTGACTCCGACACAGAGGACCAGGGGATGCATGGGAGGAGACGAGAGGAAGCAAAGGCCCTTTAGCCAAGACTCAACAGCAGCAATTAGACGGTCCCTTTCAGGATGGTGACCGAAGTCATCCAGTGAGAACTCGAGCCTGGGGAGGAGAAGCTAGAGCAAGTCTCTTGCTCCTGGTGTGCAGGTCCATGGAGGGATGACTCGTTAATGAGGAGCTCCAAGCGACGCTGGCATTAGCCTCCCTGGATACCTTTGCAGGGGCCTCAGTCGGATGCTCAGCTGCCCTCTGACATCAGCTGTAGCCTTGGGCTTCAAAGCTGGGAAATGGGGCTGCTGGCCTGAGCCGGCCACACAGGAGGCTCGAGGAGAGTGGAGATGAGGAGCAAGACCAGGTGTGTGCACCCCTTCAAAGAGAGCATCACAGCTGAGTTTGTCAAGGTGCTCCTTGGAATGGGAACAGCAAGGGTAGGGGCTGAGGGAGCCTTGGCATGTGCCAACTGGCATCTCTGCAACAGGCATTTCTGTCCTGTCTGCCAAGAAATGCAGCAGGAAAGTCAGATGGAGACCAGGAAGCTCTGGGAGCCAACTGTCACCCACTCTCCCCCTCCCCTCCCCCACCTGCCCTCCCTCTCCCTCTCCTCCCTGCCCAGCTAACAGCCAAGGAAAAGCTAATGAGAGCTCAAAGAAGTCAGCAGCTCCTCCCCTCCCCCACCCCCTCCCAGGCAGCAAGAAGAAAGCCCCGCTCCAGGCCCAGGTGCTGACCCAGAAGTGGACGACTGAGGCCCCTGGCAGGCGCAGCAGAAGGCAGACACCCAGGGTGTTCAGCGAACCTGGCATTGGCCGCTCCTGCCGAGGAGGTTACTTTCCACTGCCCCTCCCCCAGGGGCGGGGAACAGCATGCACTCTGGTGGAATAAGCTCTCAAATACCGAGACCCAGCAGAGCCTCCAGGGAGCTTTGACCTCAGTTGAAAAAACACTCTCCAGCCTTCTGCAAGGGACAATTGGCTAAAAACACTTACACGGGTGGGTTTTGATTGCAGACAGTCTTTGGGTCCCTTTGGGACCACTGGATCACAGACTAGACTGCCAACATCTCCCATATCAGAGGCCCGAGGTTCAGCAGTAGGAACCCCCGGCCTGCCTCCAGATGGAAGTAGACGTTC